TAGTGAATTTAATAAGTAAAAATGAAGTATACCTTCACTAAAGCTCTCCGTGGTCATTTCATTTGTCGCCGAAAATCAAATAGATTACACGACATTTGAAAAATGGCAAAAAGGAGGGAAAATTCAAAAAGGTGGGGTAGAGATGGAAAGTTAGTGTCCGAGTGGATCGAGGTCACGATAGCTCAAGTGGTAGAGCAGCGGCGCATCAAGCCGAAGGTCGTGGGTTCGAATCCCGCTCGTGACACTGACTTTTTTATCTCAACTAAAAACCTTAATTAATTGGTCAAGCGGACCACTAAAACTAGTGAATTTAATAAGTAAAAATGAAGTATATCTTCACTAAAGCTCCCGTGGCCATTTCATTTGTCGCCGAGAATCCAATCCGATTACACGACATTTGAAAAATGGCAAAAAGGAGGAAAATTCAAAAGGTGGGAAGTTAGTGCCCGAGTGGATCGAGGTCACGATAGCTCAAGTGGTACAGCAGCGGCGTATCTAACCGAAGATCGTGGGTTCGAATCCCGCTCGTGAGATTGAATTTTTTATCTCAACTAAAAACCTTAATTGAAATATATTGATTAGTCAAGCGGACCACTAAAACTAGTGAATTGAGTAGAATCCAATGTTGAGGACAAACAACAAATATAATGATATGTACTTAAAAAATTACATTTCTTTTTGAAATGGGCTATCTTAAGCGTGAAAGGAGTGACGTGAAAACTAGGCGGTATTCTCAGAAGACTAAGAGGTCCAAGCTAAATCAGAGCACGATGTCTGTTACAAATGAGTCCCGTTGAATAATTAATGTTCTTTTGTCTGTGCCAAATGATGCAGGAGAGAAGCTAGGACGGCTGCTTTTCACATCGTCTGTTCTAAGGAGGCGAAAAAACCTGATGCTCTTCCCTCGACGATATTAGGTTTTAGACAGATGGAAAAAGGTAAATTACAGCCGGGGATGTTCTTCCTCGTTTTGCATAACGCGACAGCTGTGGTGTGCGAAGATAGTGTCGCCAATTGTCTACCGGTGGAAGGAGATCCGGGGTCCTTTCGCGCTGAAGTCGATTCCCATTTCCCTCCCTCTTCGACAACACAACGGCTGACGTTTTTCCTAATGCTAATTAAGTCCCCGAAAAAGGTCTAAAGCCGCCTCCCTTGCGAAAGAAACACGATGTAATTGCATTAAACCCTTTGATTTAGAGAGACTCGGTTATGCGCCAACCCACCGGGAGCGACGAAAGGGCGACCCAGGACGCTAATTTCATAAAGTGAATGGGACGAATTTGAGTAAATCCAAAAAAGTGCCTCTCCGTGTTTTATAACCCACTCTTTATAATGCGAAAAAATTATTTGGCCCTTAATTGTTTGTATTTTTATATATAAATTTCGTTTTCAATTACGTGCTCGACGAAAAGAGAAGAAATGTCAAGTTACGCAATGGAATCATTTTTATATTTTTCTTTTAGAAAAAACATAAAGAAAAACTTTATTTAAAATCTGATATGTATGTTTAATTAAAAACAATCTCAATGTTTTTAATGTTTTAGTTTTCATTAAGCTTAGAGTTGATTAACCTGGTCCTCCGGGCCAGATGTGAACCACTCCATCAAGGCCGGTGTAATACAATTGAACTTTTCCATCTAATATTTACAACCACATATGAGAAAGTTCTGTGAAAAAGAAAAAGCCAGGCGCGCGTCAAAGTGTCCGAAAAGGTTTCAAGCCCTTTTCAAAACTTACAAACCGGAACGGACGGGCGTGATCGAGATATAGGACCCGTAAAGCCGAGGTAAAGAATATTTTCTTGCGATCTTGGCACAAAGTAAAATAGACTAGAAAAAGTGATATCGATCATTTTTAGATCATTCCTGTGAATTCGAAAATTTTCCCAAGATTTCATATTGCGAATTGGTCCCTGATTGGGACTTCCGAATAGAAACCAAATACAAGACACCTCCGTTCGCCATCGAGGTCCTGGGGAAAATAGAACTCCATCGATCCAGTGGGGCTCGTTAAAGAGCTATGTCAAACAGCACACACTTTCACAGAGCGAATTTCCATTTGAGAAAACCAGAGCCGACAAGGAAAATTCAAACGATCAAACGGAAATGGTTGGTAAAACGAGCACAGTCTATCTTTTCCCTTTTTCCCATTTCGGACATTCTAATCGAGCATTAGACGCCCAAGAGGATTTACCCTCGACTCTTCTTCTTCTTAATGTAGACATGTTTTTGTCTGTGGAAGGTTTAAGGTTCTTAGATACAGACATGTGTTGAAAGGATCGAGTTTCTTGTTATAGACATCCGTATTTCGGGAGATTCATCAACGACTATGTCAAGACATCAAAACTTTTGACAATAAAAAATAACCGATATAGCCAAAAAACCTGAAACTTCCCAAAGGCAAATATGTCAGGGTCAAGAAATAGAAAACTACCAAAGAAAAACAGAGGTCAAGGGCAAGAAACCTTATCATTTTAAAGGAAAATCAAACATGTCAAGTAAACATTACAAGGTAAATAGTACCTGTGCCAGCAAATACCAAACTCCCAAAGAAAAAACAGACGTCAGTGCCAAGAAACCAGAACTTTCTAGGGGAAACAGATACCAGTGCCGATAAATATCAACCTCCCAAGGAAAAGACAAACAGTCCCAAAAAACCAGAACATTCACGTGAAACAGATTTCAACCTTCCAAGGAAAAAAAGATGTCCGCGGCAAGAAACCAGACCTTCCAAGGAAACGGATCTCTTTTTCAAGAAATATCAACCTTCGAAAGGTGGACTAGAGATCAGTGCCAAGAAAGCCGAAATTTCCTAGTGAATCAGACGTCTCTAGTCTAAGCCAACAAAGCCGAACCTTTCAAAAGAAACACACGTCTGTATGTTGTGTCAAAATTGCCGAAGTTTAAAAAAAACACAGATGTCTGAACTCTGTGCCAAGAAAGCCGAACCTTTAAAAAAATTCACTAATTTCGTGGTCCGCTTGACCAATTAATATATTACAATTAATTAAGGTTTTTAGTTGAGATAAAAAAGTCAATGGCACGAGCGGGATTCGAACCCATGATCTTCGGCTTGATACGCCGCTGCTCTACCACTTGAGCTATCGTGACCTCGATCCACTCGGACACCAACTTCCCATCTCAAAAGGTGCGGTGGTTTTTCCAATCAACAGCGAGTTGATACGTACAACTGCTTTGTTGATAGTGGTGGTATTGCAGGTATTGGTCGTGCAGTCGAGTTGTACTGGCAGAAATTTTCTGATCGCCACAGGATAAACCTCAAAACGTTTATTCGTGTTGCTCCCAATACGAGGAGATACAGATCAGTTGCTGTTCCATCATAAAGAAACCAGCAGCGTAATTTCCATGAGAAGCTGACTATTTTACTGTATATTCGAGAAAATCCAAATTCCTCTCTTCCACATGTTGAAAGGGATTTAGGTTTTTCAAAAAAATAGAATTAGGTATGCACACCGGACTTACAATTTCAAGCCGTATCGCTCGCATCTTGTCCAGGGACTTCGGAACTCTGGTTATGACAAGCGTCTAACGTTCCTTGCACAAATGTCGATTTGGGAGATTGAAGAAAATTTTCTTCCATCCTGTGGGCTGATGAATCCAAGTTCACCCCTATGGCATACTAAACCGTTGGAATTTTCGAAAAATTCGACAATTTCGTACTCTTGTCATCATCAGGTGGTGCACAGTATCAACATTTGGTGTGGACTTCTCGGAAATAAATTAATTTGGTGCTAAGTTTCTCAATTTCTTGAGGGAGGTTTTACCAACACTTTACTTGATTACAATTAATTAAGGTTTTTAGTTGAGATAAAAAAGTCAATGGCACGAGCGGGAATCGAACCCACGATCTTCGGCTTGATACGCGTTGATATTCATTGGTCAAGCGGACCACGAAATTAGTGAATTTAATTAATTAAAATGAAGTATACTTCACGAAAGCTCTCCGTGGCCATTTCATTGTCGCCGAGAATCCAATCCGATTACACGACATTTGAAAAATGGCAAAAAGGAGGGAAAACTCAAAAGGTGGGGTTAAGATAGGAGGTTGGTGTCCGAGTGGTTCGAGGTCACGATAGCTCAAGTGGTAGAGCAGCGGCGTATCAAACCGAAGGTCATGGGTTCGAATCCCGCTAGTGCCCTTGACTTTTATATCTCCACTAAAAACCTTAATTAATCTTTAAAAAAAAGATTCTGTGCCAAGAAAACCGAACCTTACAAAAGTAAACTGCACCATAATTCCAACAAAGACAATGTCTTCTTGATACAAAAAACAGTTTTCTTTTGGAAGTAGCAACATTTTTGCCACAAGTGAATGAGTTTGCAGCATAAGGCATCTTTATCTAGGCATAAACTTTTAGATTTGTAAGTTTTACGAATCTTAATACAGACATGAGTTGTTTGCTTCGGCTTTTAATGCAAACCTGTTTTATTTTTGGAGGGCGTATTCTATCGGTTTATTACCTTCTAGTTGTAGGCATTGATTCATTTGAAACGTTACTAACATCCAAACTTTTAAAAAGTTAATTTCACAACTTAGAAAATTGTTGCCGTCTTGTTTTCTATAAATTCCGAGACGAATATTGTAATGTTGTGGTATTAAAACCACCGAGCAGTTTTCAGCATTGAAACGGACTCTCGCAATTGTTCAATTAAGACAAATTGGACCTTCCAATTCCGTGTTCGTCCGTGTTTCACATTTTCCCTAAAACACCGTTGCGAGAGAGGTGGGCCTGCCAAAATGAATGTAAATATTTAAACGAACTTACGAACCTGTGTGTACGGGGCGGGTGCATTGGGTCTTTTGATATTTATCGGATTACGAAGAATAGTTCGGCTTATTTCTGCCTGGAAAGGAGGAAAAACTTCCTTGGGATTTTTACACCTTTGGGAGTGTAAATACATATTTTTCGATTTTTCAATTTGTCTTTACAAAACCTTGACAATCGGGAAACGTTCTATAAGCGATTTCATCTCACTTACCGCCTGGTCGGTCTGTCGGCTGGATCTCGGAGGAACTGGTGAAAAAGAAGAGTGCGAGGAAATACAACAACATCTCCATCTCAAGATAAAATCATTCTGAAAAACAAGAAGCAAAAACTATTAAAAATAAATCACAATAATAAAGAAAAAGCTGTCATAAAAGCATCAAAACAATGTTTTGGGCAAATACAAAACTTTGTTGTGAGGGTATTTCTGCTACGAGGTTATATGAACCGTCGGGGTGCCGGTGTTGTTGATAAAAAGCCCAATCGTAAGTATATCGGGTTCGAATGTAGGGCCGCTGGGTTCGAACCCGGGACCTTTACCTTATAGTGATGAACGCCGTGTCAACGCCTAACCGTTGCGATCACCAACGCCCTCTGGGGTCAAATTTTAAAGCACATAAAATATCTTTGGGAACTTTAAATGTTGAGTACAAACGTCTCTTTCTTAGATCGGAACAGATGTCATTGCATGTATATTGGCTTGTGTAATTGAATAAGATTTTCTAAAGAAAACCCGACGGTTGTTCAATAAACCAGAAGTTTTAAAGAGAAAACCAGATGTCTATGTTAAGAAATTTAAAACTTCCAAAAAGATAAAAATCACCTGCGCCAAGAAACCTGAACCATCCAAAGGTATATACATCAGTGCCAAAGAAGCCGAACTTTCCAAAGGTAAACTAAACGTCAGTGCCAAAGAAGCCAACCATGGAAAATAGATGCTTGTGCCGGGAAATATCCAGATGAAAAACTAGACGTTAATGCCAAGAAACCCGTACCTTCCCAAGAAAACAGACGCCTGTGACAAGAAATCTGAACTTACCATAGGTAAACTGTACATCAGTGCCAACGAAGCCGGACCTTCCAAGGAAAATAGATGTCTATGTCGGCAAATATCAACCGCCCAATGAAAAACGAGACGTTAGTGCCAAGACACCCGAACCTCCCAAAGGAAGATGTTTGTACCAAGAAATCTGAACCTTCCACACGTAAACTAAACGTCAGTACAATGAACCCCGAATCTTTCAAAGAAAACAGATGCCTGTGCTAAGAAATCTGAACCTCGCAAAGGTACACTAGATGCCAGTATCAAGAAACCTGAACCTTCCAAAGGCGTATTAGATGCCAGTGCCAAGAAACCGAATCTCCCGAAGGAAGATGTTTGTACCATTAAGTCTGAATCTTCCACAGGTAAACTAAACGTCAGTGCCGAGAAACTCGAATCTTCCAAAGAAAAGAGATGCATGTATCATGAAATCTGAACCATTCATAGGTAAACTAAACGTCATTGCAAAGAAACCGAATCTCCCAAGGAAAACAGATGCCTATGCTGAGAAATATAAACCTGCCCTATGAAAAACTAGAATTAGTGCCTAGAAACCCGAACCTTCCAAACAAAACAGATTCCTGTGCCAAGAAACCTGAACTTTAAAAAGGTACACTAGACGTCATTGCCAAGATACCGAATCTCTCAAGGAAAATAGATGCCTGTGCCGGGAAATATCAACCATCCAATGAAAACCTTGACGTAGGAGCCAAGAACCTGAACCTTCCAAAGCTAAACTAGACGTCAAGGCCAAGAAACCGAATCTCCCAAGGAAAATAGATGCCAGTACCGGGAAATATCAATCTCCCAACGAAAAATGCAGACGTTACTGCCCAAAAAAAAGAAACATACCAAAACACCTCTTAGGTCTTAGCCAAGAAATATCCAGTTCTCAGGGGAAAATATAAACGTGTGTCAAGAAACGAAATTCTCCCACGGAAATCATATGTTTGACTAATAAATAAAAATGTCCAATCAGGAAAAAACATACATCTACGAAGTAAATAAGAATATCCCAAGGGAATCCTAGGTGGGATATAGGCCTAAGGGCCGGAATCGAAAAACCTCCTAAAGGATTTTTCAATTTAACAGTTTAATTTTATTTTTGTGGAACAAAGGCTTAATAAACAAACCTCTGTTTTATTTTTACATGATAAAACTGTCCTCTTCCAGTGATGAAGAATCATAAATTTTAAATGGACATTTGTTTAACTAAACAACGTCCCAAAACAAATATCATATTGGAAATTTAAAAAAAAAATTATATAGATATTATTAGATATATCCGTAAAATAAATATAACATGCTGGATCGGTTTGTTAAAAGTTAAATCCTCAGGATATTCTTCTGTACACGTATTATCCAGTGAGTGATAAATGCCTCCTTTTAGTGAAAGAGATAAATCCTTCAACCTAATTATCTGGTTGTTAAATTCAAAAATCTCTATGGTTTATTTTTAAATATTGTACTTCATTAAGGCTGTGCTTAATTTCCAGGCAGGAAATGAATATTTTGTTCGATAATTTAAAAAAGTGAAATTCAGATTACCCGCGGTTTACTATTTATCCTAACATACCCGGAAATTTTTTTAAAAAAATTTTCCTCTTCCTCTCTTGAGGACGTTATAAAAGGGTGTTTGCGAAAGGAGGATTTTCCAATATAATCTAGCTCGGAGAAAAAAATATTCAAAGAATTGTTATTATGCGGCCGTTCGACTGACGGGGTTTCTTATTTTTCCGGCTCGACGGAAAAGTCAAGTTTTATAATTGAAATATAAACTGGAGAACGGGTACATTTTCCAAATTAGTGTGATCAAGGGTCGTGACAATTGGTTAAACATTGTCCTCGTACAGGCGTTTCCTTATTTACCGACTTTTCCACTCGAACCTTCTCGGATTTCGTCCCATTTCCGGGGGAAGTGGACGGAAAAACACCCCAAGGGGACGATAAACGCTTCCGAGTTGGTTTTCAAATATAAGAAAGATAAATTAGCTCTAATTAACATCTACTCGCGATTGGGAGGAAAATTGCAATGGAGTGTCTGCCAGAGGAAAAGCAAAATCAACCCCACCACGTTACCAACATTACTTTTGTAAAATTAAAACGTCTTTCGTTTTGATTTAGGTTTAAACTAAAAACAAAAAACACACAGCATTTTTTAGGTTCATATTGGACAGACACGTTGATCGGCGTTTGGCTATTTGTCATCCGTTTGTTTCCTTCTTCGGTTGTTGTAAAGCAGGCTGGGGCAACCTGTATTTATTTAACTCTGCTTCGGCTTGGGAGAATGAGTACTTGTGGTACGCAGAGTACTCGGGGTTCTTGTACGTGGACTCTTTGTCCGCCCCTGAGGGGGGTTGAACGACTTGTCGGCTTAGGCCGGGAACGTCGCCGGATTTCTTCTGCTCTTCCGTTAGTTCCACATCCGGTTCGGATATTAATTTGGCGTACAGTAACGGGTCTCCGGCTGACCTGTCACAGACGGACGTTTTCTTCTTGGGGGTTGCAGGTTTCATGGAACTGGCATCTGATTTCTCCTTAGAAGGTTCAGGTTTCTTGTCATAGACAGACGTTTTCTCCTCGGGAGTTGAAGGCTTCAAAGAAGTATCACTGGGTTTCTCTTTTGGAGGTTCAGATTTCTTGGCGCAGACGTGTATTTTCTCCTTGGGAGTTGATAGCTTCAAACAAGTAACACTAGGTTTCTCTTTTGCAGGTTCAGATTTCTTGGCGCTGATGTCTGTTTTCTCCTTGGGAGTTGAAGGCGTCAAAGATGTAAAACTAGGTTTCTCTTTTGGAGGTTCAGATTTCTTGGCGCAGATGTCTGTTTTCTCCTTGGGAGTTGAAGGCGTCAAAGAAGTAACACTGGGTTTCTCTTTTGGAGATTCAGATTTCTTGGCGCAGACGTCCTTTTTCTCGTTGGGAATTGAAGGCGTCAAAGAAGTAACACTGGGTTTCTCTTTTGGAGGTTCAGATTTCTTGGCGCAAACGTCTGTTTTTTCCTTGGGAGTTGAAGGCGTCAAAGAAGTAACACTGGGTTTCTCTTTTGGAGGTTCAGATTTCTTGGCGCAAACGTCT